ACGCAGGCACTGTTGCACTGTTTACTCGGGCTCAAGAACGAGCAGAACGAATTCTCTCCTTTGCCAGCAGAGCCCCACTCCTTGCCTCCAGCCCTGGCACTCACCCTCCCTGTGTGCACCCCCCCCACCCCCCCATGTCACATTCCAGTCTCAGATCCCCAGTGACCCACCCAGGCACAGGGCACAGCTCTGCCTCAAACAGTCTCCTCAATCCCTGGGGAAACAGGATGAGCCAGTTTCTCCTCAGCCCCCTCGGGGAGCAGCCTGGGGGGTGCTGGGCCCCTCTCCGGCCTCACTTGTCTCTCAGAAGTCTGAACGAACAGAAGCCACTGAGCAGGGAATCTGAGAAGGTCTGAGAATCTGCAAAGGTCTGGCAGGCAGCGGCCAGGGATCTCAGGGGCCCACGAAACCGTGTCAGGGGCTCCCACCCGGCCCGCAGCACCTAGCCCTTCCTGCCAGGAAGCACTTCCAAGCGTCTCCCGTGTTCCAGGCCTCGCCCTTGGCACTGGGGCCAGGGGAGGAGGGAGGTGTGCTCTCGGGCCTAGATGCTCCGGCCTTGTGGGGAGGACACTGACAGAATTACCGATAATTCCATGATAAACGCTCTGCCATGGGTATAGACAAAGGGAGATGACTCAGTCTGCCTCACAGGTCAGAGAAGGAGGAGACAGGACATCTGTTTTGGTCTTGGGAGGCAGGGAGGAAAGTGAAGGGCATCCTAGGTGGAAGCAGCAGCCTGGGCAAGTGCGCGGAGGCAGGGATGTACGTGGCTGAATCCTGAAGGCTGTGCTGTGGGGAGGGAAGGGAAGGGGGCTCTACAGCACAGCAGGCAAAGGACCCTAAAAGGGCGCTGTCATATGGGAAGGACCACGGACAGGACCTGTATTCTGACAGCAGCAGGAGCCCCTAGAAGTATCTGCTGTGGTTGAGAAAGATCACTCTGGTAGTGTGGCCCATGCTGGGAGGGGGCAGGATGGAGGCAGGGAGGCCAGGGAGGCCCAGCCTCTTCCGTCACCATTCTTTCTGAGCTAGCTCCTCCTATCTTGGCCACTGTACATGCCACATCCGTTCCAAGCTCCAAACACTTGCTAGTACGTTCCCTCTGGCAGGAGTGCCCCCTCTTTTTCTTACTTACCCATGCTGGAAGCACCTGCTCCAAGCTCCCTCTTCCGTGAAGCCCCTGCCTCCATAAGGCTCCCAACTCTGGTCAAGACTGAATCCTAAGGCTCAAGTTATCTGTCCCACTCATCTCGGAAATGGATTGTACACTGTCTCCCTCTGCTCTTCTTCACATGGACAAGTCTTACCACAGATGCTGCCCTACGCTCTCTTTTTTTTTTTTAAATTTATTTACGATAGTCATACAGAGAGAGAGAGAGAGAGAGAGAGGCAGAGACACAGGCAGAGGGAGAAGCAGGCTCCATGCACCGGGAGCCCGACGTGGGATTCGATCCCGGGTCTCCAGGATCGTGCCCTGGGCCAAAGGCAGGTGCCAAACCGCTGCGCCACCCAGGGATCCCCCTACGCTCTCTTGATCTTATTATCCCCATAACACCTTCATGAACTGGAGGACCTGTTTTCTGCCTGAAACTTGGCTCAGGCTCCCATGACAATACTAGTTCCCTTGAGTATTACCTGGGTCTCAGTCACCCACCAGACTATAACCCTTTTGGAGGCAGATGCATGAAGCACAGGACTTCAGAAATGGTGGGTCCTTGGAAAATATCTGTTCCCTTGGAGCTAGTGAGCCCAGGTACCTCTCCCACAGAGACAGTGCCCATGGTCCACTGCTCCACCCTGTCCTTCCCTCTGGGGCCACACATTTGAAAGTGTGTGTGGGAGGGGCATCAGGGCCACAGGTGGCTATTTCCTTAAGATTTTATGTAATTATACATGAGAGAAAGAAAGAGAGAGAGAGAGAGAGAGAGAGGTAGAGATATAGGCAGAGGGAGAAGCAGGCTCCATACAGGGAGCCCGACGAGGGACTCAATCCCTGGTCTCCAAGATCACACCCTGAGCTGAAGGCAGTGCTAAACCGCTGAGCCACCCAGGGCTGCCCCACAGGTGGCTATTAAAAGCAACAAGATGGGGCGCCTGGGTGGCTCAGTTGGTTGAGTGTCCAACTCTTAAATTTGGCTCAGGTCATGATCAGGGTGGTGGGATGGAGTTCCGGGTCAGGTTCCATGCTCAGCAAGGAATCTGTTTGAGGATTCCCTCTCTCCCTCTCCCTCTCCCTCTGGCCCTTCTGCATGCTCAAATAAATAAATAAATAAATAAATAAATAAATAAATAAAGTGCAACAAGATGCATCCATGCACTGCCACGGGGATAAACCAGTATTAATAATGGTGACAGTGCCAACTGGCATTTATTGGGACAAGTACTATTCTAAGCTTTTGCATGTTTACATGGACTACTTCATCAAATCTTCAGTAGAGTCCTATGAGACCAGTACTCTTATCATTCCCAATGTACAGACAGGACACTGAGATACAGAGAGGTAACTCATTCACTATGTAGTAGAGCTGGGGGTTACCCCAAAGCCTTGCCCTGGAGCACCTCACCCTATGGCTTCTCAAAGACAAATGGAAAGGAAAAGAGAAGGTAAAGAGTAAGAATCTGAGATTCTCCTTTGGGGTAAAAGAAAACTAAGTATTGGCATATATGATACACGTATACTTCAGCGAGTAGCAAAAACCTCCAGGAGGATACATTCAAACTCTGAACTGGGGTTACCTGTGTGGGGAGGTGCGGAGGACACTTTTACTTTTACCCTATATACTTCTGGGTTATTTGCATTTTTCACAATAAGAATGAATCCAGGTGTTACTTGAGTAATTAAAAAAGAAAGAACTTGTCAGGGCTTCGATTAATGTTTGTGGAATGACTAAAAGGCAGATTCATTTCGTAGGACTGTTTTTTCAAACTCTGGGTATGACCCATTAGTGGATTGTGAAATCAATATAGTGGGTTGCAACCAGCATTTAAAAAAATAAAAAAAATCAAATAGGCTAGAACAGAAAGTATCAGCTCAGCAGACAAAGTAGAGAAAAAGAGTTATTTCACTCAACTTTTGTTTCAGCTTTATATAGTGGTGGTGAAGAGAATTGTGACCTAAAATGTATTTCTTACTAGAGGTCTCCCTTAGAGTTTGAAAGCCATCCATCTAGACTTGGAGGTCTAAGAGGAATGGGGAAGAGGGGCTCCTGCAAGGGTGGCTTGGTCCAGTGGAAGAGAGATGGGTTTTTCCAAGTGGGTGCATTCCCTCCATTTAGGAAGAAGCCAGAGGGGCCCCTGGCTCTGGGGAAACGTTCTATTTATTAGCCCACTCTAGAGTTGGCTTCTGGGGCCTGGGTCATCTCTTGATAACTGCTTTCCTCCAAGGCTCTTTGCCTGGGAGAGCCTTCACCAGGGTTCTGAGATGGAGCCGCCCCCAGCCCAGAAGGTCTGCCTGGCTCCTCTGTGTCACCCAAAGCTTCTAAGATCGCTCCTGGGGTGCCCTATGCCCCCTCCACTGTCGAAGGGGCGGGGTGGGAAACGAGATTCCTTTCCAGCAGCTTCCACATCCCCAGAGCCACATCCCAGGGAAGCCTCTGGAAACACAGCTGTGTGGTCAGTCCGGAGGGGGCTCCACGGAGTCTGCAGCGAGAGCTGCCCCCAGCCTGGGTGAGCCTGACCCAGGCGGAGCAAGGTCTGCATGGAGGATGGGATGGAGGGAAGAGCAGCAGATCCCCCAGCGCGGGGCTCCCACGGCGCTGGCGCCTCCACTTAGGAGCTCGCCGAACCCACCCCCGCCTCCCCTCCCAGGGCAGCAGACAACTAAAAAAAGATAAAATAAAAAGAAGTAATTCCCCTGCTCTGACGTCAGCGCGAGGTTTTAACAGCCCGGCAGCGGCCTGAAACCGGATTGCAACCAGATGTAATGCCCTTGAATCCTGCACACACCGCTGCCTTGGGAGAGAAATGGAGCGGGGGCGGGGGCGGGGGCGGGGGCGGGGGGGCGGCCCTCGGGGTGGGAGGGAGCCGGGCGGGTCCCGCGTGGGGCCTTTGCATCGCAGCCTCTGCTGGGAGCACGGGCCAGGCGCTGCGGGAGCGAGTGCGGCGAGCGGGGAGGCTCAGGGCCCGGGTCCGCCATTCAGGCGCGCGGCCTCCCCTCCCCCAGCCCCCCAACAGCGCATTGTTACACTCGGTTTTGTCCACTCCCCGCCGCCGCCGCCGCCGCCCGATCGCGGGCTCCCCGGAGGGCACGGCTCCCGTCCGCACTCCGGCCCTGGGCGGGGAGCGGAGGACTACGAGAGCCCCGAGAAGGGAAACGGGCGCCCCAGGAAGCGGGGGCCGCGGCGGCCTCGGCCTCCCTCCTGTTTCGCTTCCCCTCCGCCCCTCCGCCCCTCCTCCGAGGCCCCCGGCGCGACCGAGGCCCGAATGTCGCCCCCGCCGCCCGCCGCCCGCCGCCCGCCGCCGGGCCCCGCGTCCTCCCCCCGGGGGCGCCTGCCTGCGGGGCGCGGGGCCCGGCGGCGGGCGGCTTGGCGCGGTCGGCGCGCCGGGGCGCTCGGGGCTCGCGGGTCCGGTGCCCCCGCCGTGACGTCACCCCCGAAGGGCCCGCGCCCCCGGGGCCTGGCCGCGTCGGGGCTCCGAGGCTCGGGGCCGCTTCCTGCCGGGTCGCGGGGCCTCTGCGCACAGGCCCGGGCGCCGCCGCCCGCGTGGGGAGGCCCCGAGAGCCCCGCGCCCCCCGCGCCGCCCCCGCGCGCTCCGGGCTCCCCCCGCCGCGGGCGCACTCCCACAGCTCCCTCCCGCCCCGGCGCCCGCCGGGCGCCCCCCGCGCCCGCGCCCCGCGCCCCGCGCGGAGCTCCCCCGGCCGCACGGACAGCGCCGCGGGCCGCCCCCAGACGGCCATCCGGTGACCTCGCGGCCCCCCGCGCCGCCCCCCGCGCCGCCCCGGCCCGGCCCGGCCCGGCCCCGGCCCCCGCGGCGCCCCCCGCGCCCCGGCGCCCAGTGCTCACCTCGGCGCCCGCGCTCGCTCGCTCGCTCGCTCGCACTCGGGGGCCCTGGGTCTGGCGCGGCGACTTGGCGGCCCGCAGGCCCGGGCGGCCATGGGGGTCAGGGCGCGGCGGCCCGGCAGGAAGGAGGTGGGCCGCGGCGCCCCCTCCTCGCGCCGGCGCTCGGGCGGCGGGCAGGGCGGCCTGCTCCGCTCGCTGTCGCCCTCGCCGCCGCCGCCTCGCTCTCCGCCTCGACTCTCGGAGCCCGGCCGCGGCGGGGGCGGCGCCCGGGGGCGCGGGGAGCCGGCGGCGGGGGAGCGGGCCCTGGCCGCGCACCCGGCCGGGCCTGCCTGGTGTCCGCGGAGCCGCGGGGAAATGCGATCCCCTCCGCACAGGAAGAGCGGACGGGCGGGCGGGCGGGCGGGCGGCGCGCGGGGGGAGAAGGAGAGCGAGAGCGGGAGGGAAAAAGTTCCCGGGCGGCCTGGCTGCGCTCGCTCGAGGCCCCGGGCGCCAGGTGGGCCGTGCGCGCCCCGACAGCACCCCCTGGCGGCCCGCGCGCCCCACTGCGCGGCCCCCGCCCGCTAGCCCGCCGGCCTGGGGGGCGGGGGACCGCGCCAGGAGTGAGGTCCAGGTGGAGCGCTCCGGGATCGCACGCCCCGCGGGGGGCCGCGGGGGCCGCGGGGGGCGGGGGGGGCGGGGGCTGGAACCTCTGGCGGAGCATCTGGACTTGCGTCCTGCCCTCAGATGCCTCCGGTCTCTGGCCTGGTTCCTAGGCGGGCTCCCACCTTCACCCCGCCGTCAGCAGGACCTCCTCTTTACAGTTTGGGAAACATTCTTCTGAACTCACTAGGCCGGACAGAAATTTCTCCACTTACCAGGTTCCCGGCATCTTGTTGGGCGCTGGGGAATCAACAGAGACAAATGGTCCCTGCTGCCACAGAGCTGACACCCTGTTAGGGACAGGCAGACAGACCACAAATGTTTACACATACATAAAGAAGATAATTTCAGGGAGTCATGAGTTCTGGGAGGCCAAATAGCAGGTGAAGTGATGGACAGGGGCTATTTAGCTGGAAGTAAGAAAGGGAGGCCTGTCTGAGCAGAGAACTGAGCAGAGCAGGAAGGAAACCTGCAGTGAATAGAGCAGGGGAAGAGCATCCCCCCCCCACACACACACACAGAGGGAAGAGCAAGTGCAAAGGCCCTGGGACAGGGGAGAGCTTGGTGCTTAAAAAGCCAGGAGACCAGTTCTCACGACACTGAAGGCAGAACCCCAAGGGAAGGCCTCTGTCTTCAGCACTGCAGAGGGCCTGATGAGGAATTCCGATGTAAAGTTCTGGTGTTCTTGGGAAGGAAGCCACTGGCAGAGCTTAAGCAGAGGAATACTGAATAAATGAGTGAGTGAATAAGCCTAGGAACTTACAGACTCCCTGAGCAATGGCTGCCCCAAGGCTTTGACTCACCAGGGTTCAGGCAGAAATCCACAGCCACCTGCCCTGCGAGCCTCCCTCCACCTCACCCCCCAACAGCCTCTGGAGTCTGGTGGGCCCCTGGAGAGGAGGGGGGAGCATCAGAGCTCCCAGGCGCCCTGTGACTAGTGAGGTCTCCTATCAAACCCCAGCTTCCTCATGGGTAGAGCAGGCTCTGCAGTAGGTACAGTGACTTTACTCGGTACGAGACCCTGTCCCTCTTTCTGTGGGTTGTCTCACTGGATCCTGGCAGCCCCTCTGTGAGGCAGGCTCATTCATCACATTTTGTTCACGAGGAAATGGAGGCACAGAGTGGCGAAATCACCTGTCCAGGTCCTCGAGCTAAAGGAACAGAGCCAAGACCCGCACTCAGGGCCCTTCACTGAGCTCGGCTTCCTGTCTCCCGCGGAGAATGGTAAGAGCAGAGCAGAGGCTGGATCAATCCACCAAGCGAGCTACCCTGTTTTAAGCTAGCTCTCAGGACTTATTCTTGGGTTGGGGAAGGCAGACCTGGTTTCAAAATCTGGGTCCTTTGTGCCAGCTTTGGGCAAACCTCTTGACTGGCGGAGTGTCCGTTGCCTCCTCCGTAAAATGGGGATACCAGCAGTTACCTACTTCCTGGGATTGTTCAGAGGGTTGAATTAACTAAGGCGTGTGAAGCGTTTAGCCCGGAGCCTGGCATGCTGTGGACGCTTTTACTGTTCTAGGTCAAATACTAGCTGAGTGGGAATGGTCTCTTTCATCCATCCAGGGGCATTCTACCCCCCACGTCCAGCCTCCTGTGTGCCCTGCCCGCCCTCCTTCTGGAAGAGCCTGACACCAGGAACACCAGTGGGCTGCTAGAAGAGGAGGCCTCTCTGGAGGAAGGAGATTGTGTGGGGTCCAACTGGTAGCAACTGCCATTGTTGAGCACCTGCGATAACGAATGAACGTGTAACCAAGGACCACAACTGTAGTGGCTTCAAACAGCGCACACTCGTTCTTTACAGTCTACAGGTCAGAAAACCCTGAAATCAGTTCCACAGGGTGGAAGTCAAAGTGTTGGCAGGCCTGGCTCCTTCTGGAGACTCTGGGGGAAGAATCTTCCCAGTGTTTCCTAGCTTCTGGAGATCAACTGCATTTCATGGCTTGTGACGCGTGGTGACCTCCAGAAGCTAGAAGAGACAAGAAGACAATAACTTCTGTTGTCCTATCTTCTCCCTTGACCTTTCTGCCTCCTCTTCTAGGGACCTGTGTGCTGACGTGAGGGGGCACCTGGATAATCCAGGATAATCTCCCATCTCAAGACCCTTGATTTAATCACACCTGCAAGGAACCCCTCCCCCCTTTTTTTTGCCATGGAAGAGAATAGGCACAGGTTCTGGGGATTTACACCTGTATATCTTTGTGAGCCACTCTTCAACCTCACATTCCATACCCTCTCTGAATGCTCCCTCATCATAATGCAGTTTACCGATAAGAAAATTGAGGCTCAGAAGAGATAAAGTCACTTGTCCGAAGGTCATACAGCTGATAAGTTTATTCACCTAGTCCATGGGTATTTACTGAGTGCCCACATCAGATTAAGACTCTGGGTTACAATGTAAAATAAAGGTTTCCCTGGAAAAGTGTGCTGTGGGGCACAGGTATGAAGTGTAATGACCTAGTCCTGTTGAGGAATTCAGAGAAGGCTTCCTGGAGGAAGTGACCTATGAGCTGGGATCTGAAGAGGGATTCCCCCCCCCCCGGGGGGGCTGCTTTGTTTATTTATTTATTTTAAAGACTTTATTTATTTGTTCATGAGAGACACACAGAGAGATGCAAGAGACATAGGCAGAGGGAGAAGCATCCTCCTCACAGGGATCCCAATGTGGGACTTGATCCCAGGATCCCGGGATCACGTCCTGAGTCGAAGGCTCAACCACCGCAAAGCCGGCCAGGCGTCCCTCCCCGGGGCTGCTTTAGTCAGGGGAGGACCTGGGGCTTCTCAGAAAAGAACTGGGAACTGATCAGGGGTCACCGTCAGCAAAGCCAGTGCCCAAGAGATTTCTGCTGAGAACTTGCTTGTCATTCTTAGCCGGATGCAGTCAAGAGGGCCAGGAAGGAGGGGACCCACCGTGCAACAGACCCTTGTTAAAGACAGTGTAGGTACAAAAGTCTTAAAGTTGCAGCTTGAATGTGGAATCCGGGGTGCTGGGTTTGTGTTGACTGAAGAACAGAGCAGTGTTTGCAAATTTGGAGTTGAATACCTCTAAGGAATCTAAGTTCTTGCAAAGTTGAAATACCTTTAAGGAATGTAAATTCTACGTATTGTTTTATACCCACATTTAAATCACCCAGCTGACACCCCCCCCCCCAAAGCATTTGAGTTTGGAATAGCCTTCCCCTCCCCCAGGGGTCTTAAGACCCTGTTTTGCTTCTGTGTGGCCTTGACCTTGAGCTCCCCCTTAGTTTTCTCATAGGTTGAAAGGAGACAAAAACCTCTATTAGGGAGAGAGAGAGAGAGAGCCTTATGGGCTGGAGGGCAGGAAAGGGGAAGGGATCTATCTCAAGATAGGATCAAGTTTCCTGAGAATAGGCTTATCAGTGCTCACTCAATAGAATAGGAAGGCAGCATTTCACTAAGCCTCCACCTTGTTGGGTAGACATCCCCATTCCAATCACCCCCTGGTTCACACAAGGAAACTGAGGCCAGGGAGATGAAGTACATAGAGCGGAAAAGCACATAGCGAGATTCAGCTGTATCCAAGAGCCCAGTCGGAGCTGCCCCACTCTGCCAGCCTGCCTCCTCTGGACCAAAGCTCCTGGGGGCTCTGGGCTGTTGTCACACAACACACCTTTGGTAGTCCCTGCAGAGTGCAGGGTACGCAGTAGGACTCCCATTAGCAAGTACGTAGCCAGCAGCTATTGAGCACTTACTGGGTGCCAGGCCCTGTGTGTTTTAGTCTTTGAGGTAGAGGCTCACTATCTGCTCACTCCTGCAGATGAGTAAATAGAGGCCGGGAGAGGGGAGGAAACGTTCTCAGAGTTGGTCGGCTCAGTGTTATGTAGCTGTCAGCTAGGCTGACAGTAACCAGGGGAGCAGAACGGAAGGGCAGAGGGGAAGGCCCGTCCCAGCTGTGCCAACAGCGTGAACCCCAGGCGGCTGCCGTGCCCTCCTCGAGCCCATCATATCCCCAGGGGGAGTGCAGCGATGCCCACCTCAAGGGCTTATCGAGAGAAGTTTAAAAAGCCAGATGCTGTGGAGGTCTGCATGGCTGCCAAGGCCTTCCCCTCTCAGCCTCTGTGAAGTGTACCCATCATGCTCCACCACCCCTATGTGAAAGACAAAAGTGAGCAGAGCCATTTCTCACAAAAGTCTTGCCGGTGTTGAGAGAGCTTGAGAGGAAGGCAGGCCAGGAAGGAGAGATGGGGATGTCCATTGCGGGGTGGGTGCTGTCAGTAATGGGGGGGGCATAGCAGGGAGAGACCACTGGGCTTCCCACAAGGCCTCTGACCTCCTGCCGGAAGACCAGAAGGAGGAAGTTTCCTTCTGGCCCTGTTTCCCTCCAGGTGAGTTTGAGCAAAGTCAGGGGGACCCTGTCCAGTCTAGGATGTCCCTTAAAGGGACTCAGAGCAGCTGGTCCGGGGCTAGATAGGATCCTCTATTCACTCACACATTCACTCACTCACTCATTCATTCATTCATTGAATACACATTAGTTAAGGGAAGCCCCCTTCTAGATTCCATCCCCAGATTCCCCCTTCCGTATGGTGATGCAACCTCCCCCCCCCCAGCCCCAACGCAACACCCATGA